CTGTCTGTCTGTCTGTCTGTCTGTCTCTCTGTCTGTCTCTCTGTCTGTCTGTCTGTCTGTCTGTCTCTCTGTCTGTCTCTCTGTCTGTCTGTCTGTCTGTCTCTCTGTCTGTCTGTCTGTCTGTCTGTCTCTCTGTCTCTCTGTCTCTCTGTCTCTCTGTCTCTCTGTCTCTCTGTCTCTCTGTCTCTCTGTCTCTCTGTCTCTCTGTCTCTCTGTCTGTCTCGTTTGCTAGATCTGCCAGCTATCGTCCTTTCTATCATCCTAATGTAATCAGCCAACCATCTCCCGAGCTGACGTCAGGACCTGATTGTTTGGTATAGATTGATGAGATGCTCTCAGACTATTTGCCAAACATGCGGCCCGCGAGGAAGGTGTGTTTGGCAACTTTTTAGACTTATTTGGTCCTTGCAACACTGGCTGCGCCAGCTGATCGCGACTGGCTTGACTGTGATAATGTGTCTGTCTTTCCTCAGCTGGGTAGCGCTGGCCGCACCAAGCCTTTGCCTCCCATCCAGGCTCCAGATGACCCAAACGCGCAGCCATCTGCTGTCACACCTCCCCAACCACACTTTGAGCAGCCCTCGCCGCGTGCCCCGTCGGTTCACGAGTCAAATGCGAAGCCAACTACAACCGATCGCCGTTCGAGTGTTTCGACCGTGCCGATGAACCCCTCTGGTCATGTGTCCCGACCGGCCTCTACCGAGGCAGCATCACATCGACCCTCAGATACCCCAAAGGCAGCACCGACTCCCGAAGCGCAACACCGCGCAGCTACACCTAATCTCCCCACCGTCGCTACCAAACCATCATCCCCACCGCGGACACAATCCCCGCCACTCCCAGCCGTGGCCAATGCAGGAGCTCGCCAGGGTTCACCGCCTTTGCCAGCCTTGCGCGGGAACGGCAATGGCTCCTATAATCTGGATACGATCTTGGGCCCGGAAGCAGATCAGCCACCGCCTCAAACGACCAAGACTGTGAGTTCAGTGAAGCCCAAGGCTGCCCCAGTGGCAAAGAAGAAGGCAACCACGGGAGCCACGCCCAAGAAACCGTCAGCTGCTGCCCGAGTGAAGCCGGCTGCTGGTCGCGCCGGTCCTGCTGCCGGACGCCGTCCCAAAGTAGGCGATGAAGAACCCGATGAGCTTCGGGATGCCGATCGCCTGGATGCCTCGGCTGCGATCGAGGTGTTTGGAGAGCCCACGGTGGCCTGCATCCTATCCAAAGGCTTTCAACTCAAAGAAGCGGGCTTTTGCGACGTGGTTGACAAGCTGCAACGCCAAGCACTGGCGGCCTCACCAGCGCAGGTGGCTGCGGCAGTGGCCAAAATTTTCACACGCACGGCCAAGACCAATATGAAGAAACTCACGGCACTCAAGGATGAGCTGCTGCGTGCTTTTCTTGATTATGGTGCCGCACATGCCGTGGAGCAAGGTCCAATGAACGAGGTCGTGCGTGCGGCCATGCCCTATATTCTGGTAGCCACAGCAGACATGAACAAGGCTGCCCAGCAACAAGCGCATGCCATGGTCGAGACGCTGCTCCAGTCGGCAGCTGTGCCTGATAAGCAGCTGGTCATGCGGCCGTGCTTGGAGCCTCTCAAGGCCACTGCAGCCCCCAAGCTCTGTTTAGCCAAGATGGACGTTCTAGATGTACTGTGTCGCAACGGAGACCCCGCCTTGGACTGGGACGCCGTCTTGCGTTGCATCAAACCCATGCTACAGCACAGTCGTGCAGAAGTAAAGACTCGCGCCGCCGAGGTCGCTGCTCACTGCTTCAAGGCAGACCAAACCAAGACGATTGGTGGTCTCCAGCTCGACAAGGACCACATGGCCACGGCTCTCAAAACAGTGCAAGCAACAGCTGCAACCCTGTGATTTTGCTCGTTCGGCCGCTCAGGCGATGGACCAATCTTTGGTCCTGGCCTGGCTCTGTTTTTGTATGATTTGGAACTAATAATTCAGCTATGTATCAGCGCTTGTCCTTGGCATTCAGTCATGCCTGCCGATCTTTGACTATTGCCGAACGCATGTTGGGTGCCGTTTTGGTATTATATTATAATATTATTCAAAAACCAAGAGCTGGCCACTTCTTCCCCAGGCGTGGAAGGCGGGGGAAATTGTACATAGGTGGATTGCAAAACGATACATCCATTCTTCTCACAATAAAAGCACTTGCGCGGGCGGACGACCAAATTAGGGTCAGGGTCAGGTGTGGAGTGCAGGTGATAGCCACAAATTAAAACCTTGAAGTTTTTTCCATTTGCCCCCCTCCCGCCAAAACCGAGTGCCCTGCGCGAAGAAGGTCACATGTTACACGCAATCCACGCGGCCCTGCACGCATCTTAAATTATTTTGAATTTCATATTTGCTCATCGTGTGACGCTGGACTGGAGGAGAATGAGTCAAGTGTCGGTGAAGACCCATTCAAGGTAAAGAAAGTCAACGAAGGCAAGGCAACGGACGGAAGGAAGCCCCGGTTCAAGTACTGCCACACGCCCTTGGGCGTACGACGGCGGAAGCTCGTGACGCACGCAGAGGGTGGCTCTCTTATGAGAGAGCAAAAGTCATAAGAAGTCATCGGGCATGATGACAAAAATGTGAAAATTCACCCAATTGTATCTGACATATGACAACATCGCGGCGCGGTTTCTTTTGATCATCTTGTGGTGACGGAACAAGAACACAACTCGCGGGACGGTGATTTGAAGCGCTGCTGCTCAGGTTGGATCGCAGCCCCTTGCCCTCTCCTTTCTGGGTACCGTTGGAAAACAGATACTCACCAGCTTGGTCGTGTTGGTATTGGTCAATGCAATAGATAGAGGTGGCTGGATAGCTTGTTTTTGTGGGAGCGTGTCATGCACCGCGTGCTGGCGCGAGCTGTGGCAATGGGTCGTGGAGCAGAGCGCATTTTATCCGCCTCGACCGCCGCCAATACCGGAATTGCTGCCCATGCCACATCGACAACTACCAACACCATGCCAACGACAGACTCAAACACACCAACCGGGGATGACCGCTTCGCATTTTTGTTTCCCGGGCAGGGAGCACAGGTACATAAGTACTTGCGTTGGCCGCTCTCTGTGTCCTGTGGGGACCAGCTCGCTTGAATCACAAATGTGTGTTGTCCGCGGGCTTGGATACTTCTGATCCGGTAGGAACTTGCCATGACCAAAAATGAGCTGGAGCTTCCAGCCGTGGCTCATCTCTATGAGCGTGCAAAGGACATTCTCGGCTATGACCTACAAGCGGTGCGAGTGTCATGCAGCGGCCACTGCTTTGTTCTCATTGTCGAGCGCTACTACCACACCACAGGGGGAGGGGGGAGGTTCGGTGCATCTGCTCATCGCGCTTGCCGGGGGCGAGACTGCTCAACAGATTGTTATGGGTACCGATGAAGATAAGCTGAGTCAAACGGAGTTTTGCCAGCCCGCCATGCTTATTGCGGGGTGCGTGCGCAAGCAGTTTGAACCTTCACCTGCTGCCCCACCAATGCACGTTGGTATTGCTCAAAACAAGAGTGAAATCCATGTGGCTTGCGTAGACTCGCCGCGGTGGAGCGACTTCGTGACACAGATGCGTCAGCTGAAGCACGGTGTGTCTGCCAGGGTGCCTGGTTTTGCGTTTTTGTGAGCGACTACTTGTTCCAATGTCGTCCCGCTCCATCCTTCCATTGACCACATGTCATCTGCTCAAACCATGCCTTGCATGGATTGACCAACGGACTGCAGTTGCGTCGCAACAGCTGGTTTGAGCCTTGGCGAATATACGGCCCTGGTCTTTGCTGGAGCCCTGGACCTTGATGATGCATTGCGCGTAGTCAAGGTTCGGGCTGAAGGCATGCAAGCCGCCGGTCAAGCCCAGGCGGTGAGCTTTTTGCACCTCACACTTCGTTTCAATCCGATTCTACCTTGCTTTGTTAATGGGAACGATCAAGCCCACGGCCGATTCATCCTCACCGCCTGCTGTTGTATGGTGTAGGGTTGCATGATGACCGTCATTGGACTGGATGATGAAACCTTGGAGGCTGAGTGTGCGTTGGCATCCGAAGCGACACAAGAGGTATCACACTGATTCTTTCACTTATCTCCTCCAATCCGAAGTTTGACACTCTAATGGTGCCTGAGGCAACTGCCAGGTGTGCACAGTGGCCAACAAGCTCGCCCCTAAGATTCGCGCCATTTCCGGCGGGCCCGCCGCCATATCACATCTGGAGGCAAAGCTTGAGGGTATCGCCCTCAAGGTGTGTGCACAACAAAAATTAGCCTTGTTCACCTGAATCGTGCCTCTATCATCTTTCTGATATCATCGCGTGTGTCATCCCCTCCAGCTGGTCCGCCTGCAGGTGAGCGGAGCCTTTCACTCCAGCCTCATGGCCCCTGCGTCAGCAGCTTTGGCCGATGTATTGGAAACCGTTCCGGTGGGTTTGTTTGAAAAGGGTCGTCCTTGACGCTCGGCCAAGGATTCGTCGACATTTCACATGATCGGTCCGCATTGTGGTGTGTTTGGCGCTCTTTCAGATCCGCATGCCTCGCATTCCGGTGATTTCCAATGTGACCGGCCAAGCCTACACGGTATGCATGCCATGTCGAAGCGAGCGCAAATGCGGCCACCACTCTCAAGGAACTGGATCCACATAGTTTGACTTCTTTATGTTGCCGATCTAGGATCCGGAGCAAATCCGTGCTTGCTTGATCCGTCAGGTGGCTGAGCCTGTGCTTTGGGATGTGAGCGTGCAGCACGCCTTGGAGGCCTTTCAGTGCACCAACATCTATGAGCTTGGTCCCCAGCGTCAAATTAAGGTTGGTCAATGTGCTTATAGCCTGCGGTCCTTAAACTCTCTGAGAGGTGTGACGTGCCAACGCATCCCGTTTCTTGTTCGCTACAGGCCATGGTTCGCAAGATTGCGCCGAAAATGTTCAGGACGATGGTCAATGTGACCATCTAATCTGTGCTTGAGTCCAAAGCAAGTCGTTCGGGCCTTCTTTTCTTGTCCTGGCTCGCCCGTGATGGTCCAACACACTGGTTGTGCTTGAGGATGGGATTTGGCTTCTCTCATCGCTATCCTGCGTACACTGGCTGAGGCAATTTTTTTTTTCAATTGTAATCTTGTCTTTTTATGCGGTTTGTTTTTTGGAGCCTGTTCAAGAGTTAGGTTTCCGGACGCTTCTCTTTTTTTCGAGGTGAACTTGATCCCTTCAAGGGAAGGCAAAGGCGTAAAAGCACAAAACCCACTGGAGTTGCGCCGATCAACCGGGGGAAGAACCGGTGGCCACTCCTTAAGCCTCGCGCACCTTCTTTTCTAACACATAAGCATCCATCGGGGTGGGCTTCTACGTTCGGGCAAGGGGGACATGAGGACGCAGAATGAATGGACGAGAGCGCTCAAAATGGGGGCGTAGATTTAAAGTTTTTAACAACGAACGATGCTTCGTACCTTGTAATAGCCCTGGACCGTCTCCACAATCTCAAAGCCAAAGTTCTTGTAAAAGGCAACGGCATCCTCGTTGTTTGTTTGCACATGCCTGTGATTCCGAAAAAAAAAAGAAGAAAAAAAAAAAAAAGAAAAAAAAAAAAAAGACCAAGTCAAGATCAGGCGATGCAAAGAAGAAGAGTCGGCACTCTTGTATGCTGTGCCAGGCACAAGAGGCCAGGTACTAGCAGTATAAACACCCTCGTTGTCGGAACATGAGATCAAAGCAAAAGACGAACAGCGAGATGGCGGTGACGGTCTTGTCGTCCTCAGCCAGCTTGAGAACGTGCTCAACCATGAGTTTGCCTAACAGTGCCCATCGCCATTCGACAAAGGTAAGCTCCCAACCGCGCTGTGCTGCCAAAGTGCGTGCCCGCGCAAGTGTAGCCAGGCAGGTTGGTACCTACCCAAGCCCATGCGCCGGTACGGAGCCAGGACGCCAAGGATCATGATGTAAAGCTTGTTGTTCTTGCTGTCGGGGATCTTATCCAGTCGGCAGCACACACCACCGACAAGAATATCATCGCAGTAGACTGTGATGGGTGGGGTTGCAGCGGTGCACAGGTCAGCAAGCTGTACTTGTGGCTCACTCGAGAAGGTGCACATGAGGAACTACTCTTGTTTGCCATGACATTGCTACATACTAATTTTTGAAAGCTCGCCGGCGGCCACAGCGGTCTTGAAAAACTACCATCGATAGTATCATTGAGCACGGCGTCAGTCAAGCACTCGCTGCAACGAAAGGCACAAGACGCAGGGTGGGGAGTAGGAAGAGCAAAGGAAACAAAAAAAGGAAGAAAAGAAAAGAGTCGCACTGGCATGCAAGGGATGCTTCTTTCCGAGTCAAGCTGAGAGCATCCAGCCACAGGCCTGTGGGATACCTTATCGCTGTAGCTGACAGGGAAGATGCTGTTGCAAATGAGGGCCAGTTGCTTGACATTGTGTGGCGTCAGTTCTCCCAGGGCCATACGCGCCCTATACAGGAAAAATGTAGCACGGGGCATCCATGAGCAGCGGCAGGCGGATATTTCGGATTGTAATCGGGTTGCAGATTTGAAAGGTTTGCTCAGTCGCCATCGCGCGCTCACAACATACTTCTTTGGCTTGGGTTCACCCATGTCGGCAGGTTTCGGCAGTGACTCTTGTGTTCAAAGGTATGCCTAGCAAACGCCAACGGCACACGGTGAGCTTGATAGCTTGATGCGTGCTTAACAGAGCCGGTAACCGTAAAACTGAGCACGAGACCAGAAGCAGAAGGCCTTGGACTGATCGTCCGACCACATGATTTTGCACAAGGCCCGAGACGACAGCACACCACTTCATTCAGATGCAGAAGACAAAACAGAAGGAAGAAGGCACACTCCCACACACAGACAGTGCTGCATGGAACCTTTGCCAACACACAGCCATCCCATCCATCCATCAATCATTATTGCTCCCAGATGCCGCCGCCCTTTTTGCCCGATGACCCACCAAGAGCGCGGAGCAAAAATGAGAGAGAGAGAGAGAGGAAACGAGAGAGACCTCGAGATGCTTCATCGACCCAACAGCTGTTGTCAACGATAAAATACTCGGAAAACCAACTAGCCGTTACAAATCAAAGATGACCGTTGCAATTCACAGCGTTTGAAGACCTTCATGCACAACAAGTGAAGATTCGTTTGGCAGCCGCACTGTTCATTGCAGTATCCAGGAAGAAAGCAAGCAAGAGTCAAGGCACAGCGCTGGGTGGCAGGGATCTGCCAGAAGAGTGGCACGAGGTCTCGATTGTCGCCCCCACCTCATCAATCAACATGAGCCTGTCAAGTGGGTGTGCCGTTCATGCCGTGCTCTCGCACGCCATGCCGCGCCAGCTCACTTGTCGGTATGTCAGATGGCGTGTTCGCTCCCTTACAATGATATTCTCGCATGTACCAGACCCAGAAAAACTCAGGCCGTGCTTGAGACGCGCAGCCTGTCTTCCCCGCTGACCTTTGCCTTTGGTGCCTCATCTTTCTAGGGCATACAAGGATCCAGATTATCATTTTGCACGCGTGCCACTCCCTCTTCCTGACCACATCGTCCTGTACACCGTGGACTCATGGCCAGTGCACGCGAACACGGCGCGCGCCTATCTTGAGCTTGGACAGGATCACACACCCTTGGAACTCGGCACTCTTTCTCGCGAGCGCAATGCGCTAGCCTCGCGTGTTGATGTGAGCTCATCATCACTGCAAGAGGCCGTCCGCGCACTCGAGCGTGAACAGGGCCTGGCAAAACTCGTGGTTCTTTTTGGTCAGTCGTGCATCCCCCCGGCCTCATGCAGTCCAGCACTGATATTGAAAATCTTTCAAACACTCTCCTCAGCACCTACCACGCCATGCCACTCATGCTGTGTCCGATCTTCCGCCCTGCAATGATAGGTGACAGCGCAGTTATCCAGGTTGGTCTGCTAGCCCCCGAAGCACCCCGGATCCAACATACGTGGAGCAAAGTCCGTTCTGCACGAATAGTGTTCCTTCTGTTCTGACCTTTGCCTTCCTGCTTTGCCAACAGACACCTCGGCAAGAGTCGAACAAATCCAAGCTACACCTGTCTGACTCGGGACACCCTTCGCCGGAACAGTTGATCACCTCTCCATTGGCTACCCTCGAGACCCTGAGCCAGCCTCAGATGGATATGGAGCCAGATACTTCCAGTCCACCCTGCGGATCGCAATCTTCTCAACTTCTTTTTCAGGACACTGTCAAAGCCACACCCGTTGTCCCGAGTCAGCCATCGCCTCTGGAGGACCGGATTCCACCAGCCCAAGCAACATCAACACATCCCATCAAGCCACCCACTCAATGCAAAGAAGCATCTTCTCCCGCCAAAGCTGATGAGGAAGCTGCGACAAGTGTCAGCACCCCCGTATCGGGGCGTCGCAGTGCGCGGCGGGCATCGTAGGTTACTCTGCCTGACGTCAACTAGCCTTGGCCTGCTTCACTCAAAAATGATTTTGTCATGGGCAAGGTGTTCTTCCATCTCCGCGATGTTCTGATGCCCCCTTTGATTTTCTGCTTTATACAGGCGCCGCAACTCAACGGCACTCACCGCCACCGACACACCAGCCAAAGTAGCCAAGACAACAAGAGCGCCTCGATCCACCTCGGGCACGCCAGGTTAGTCGCCAACGAGAACGACCGGGGCGCCTTAGAAGATGTCTCGGTGAGCTCTGACGCTGCGTTCTGACGCTGCGTTCTGACGCTGCATTGTGTGAATCATGCCCTTGTCTTGCTTCAGATCAGCCAAGTGGACGATGGGGACACTCTTTCACCTCGATTGGCGATGGCCATCGCGCGCTGCTCTTTGGCGGTCAAGGCGACGGGTTTTCCATGTGTAAAGACTACTGTTGGATGTATGATAGCAGTACGTCTAGACCATCTCAATGGTTTTGGCCATGGTGACATTTATCTCTCCGCTGAGAACGAAGAAAATGAGTGTTGTTTGCCGTGCATTTTTTGCTGCAAGCCACTCATTCATCTCAACACGTGCTACTCTACCTTGTGCACGTCGTGCCGCTTTGTGAGTGTAGAGGCCGATGCTTGGGCTGTGGTCGACACCTCCGTGCCTGACATGCCGCAAAATCGCATGGGCCACACGGCTGTCTACCGCGAGGTATATGCCCTGGCATTCCTGCTCGCACGAATCAGAGGCGCACTCCTCATCTCTCACCATCTGCATGCGTGCGTCACCACAGGCCGACAAGTCCATCATCATCTATGGCGGTGCCAAGCTCAAGCGTTTCTTGCGCAAGGTTCACCGCTATGATACTCAAGCCCAATCTTGGAGCGTCATCGAGGTGCGGCCGATTGTCTCGCGATTCGATCGCAGTTCCAATGCCGAACTGCTCTGTTGATGCTCTAAAACGTCATTGTTTGCCTTTTTCCCCTCCAAATATGCAGAGCCAAGGAGCCAAGGGCCCGGCGCTTTCATATCACAGTTGTACACTTCACAATGACTGTTTGTACATTTTTGGTGGCAACTATCCTTGCCCTGACCCCATTCCAGATGGCTGCAGCAACAAGGTTCACGTCTTCAATTTGAGTAAGTTGCCTTGTTCTTTTTCATGGGGCTCATGGAAAGCGCGTGCCCTTGACAAGCGACGTCCAACGTGATTGTTTCTGATTGTACAATGTGGCTTGCTCGATTCACAGCCCACGGAGACTGGTATGAACCCGTTGTAGTTGGCGACGTCCCCTCGCCGCGCTCTGGGTACGTCTGCGTCCCAGAGGGATTATCCACAACACAACCAGTTAATGACCACTCTTGTGGTAGGGGAGAAACATGTATCTGACGGAAACTTGTTCTCGCTGTTGTGCAGGCATGCGGCAACCATGGTCGATGACGACTTGTACATCTTTGGCGGCTGGGATGCACCCGAGTTATTCAATGACCTTTACAAACTTGACGTCATTTTGATGGAGTTTACTCGTGTCAGCACCCAGGGCCAGCCACCCTCCCCACGGTTTGTGATGTCTTGTCCTCCCATTCTATGATGTGGGAGATGGTCGCAACTGGTCGGCGAGCGGGTCATCGGTCCTCGTGAGCTTACGTTTGACGTTGGTCTCTAGGAGCTGGATGTTGTCCACACTCATCACGTACCGTGGACGCCGAGCCATTCTATATCATGGCGGCTATGATGGACACAAGGTGCGGATTATACTGTTCGGCCAGTCTTTGCATTATTTTGAATCTCAAGGCATCTCTGTTGTTCCCCACTGGTGTCTGATAGGCCTTGCACGATGCCTTTGTCTTGGATCTGGACTCTTTGACATGGTATTCAGTGGACCGTGAATTGTTCGTTTCGGCCCGGGCTGGGCACGCGCTCGCCCAGCTACCCACAGGCGCACTTGCCTTTGGGGGCGGTGACAATGAAGGTCGCTTCTTTAGCTCACTCGAAGCCCTTCCCGAAGCCCTATAAGAGGCCCTTTGTGTTTCAACTCGACCATGCTCGTCATGCTAGCAGCTCTTTCTGTCTGTCGCTATCCCCCCGCCCCCTCCTATTCTTTTGCCGTCGAGCCGTGCTTTTGAAGCAACCTTTGCGTTGCTGCTTGATGGACATCATGGCTTGCAACAAGGTGTGGATTGCTTGAACGTACTGTTTGTCAATCGATTGAACTCCATTTGCGCAGCATATGCTCACGGCTCAGCTGTAAGGGTCAGGTGCAAGCATATCAGCAGAACAACCAGGTTTCAAAAGTCGGAGGATAAAGGTGACTTCAGCATTGGCGCAAGGATTAGGGTGGACAAGGATGGGCATGCGTGGCCCTCGACCAAACACATGCCCTAGGCCTTGCTGCAGGCAGAATGGGACCCAGAGAAAAATAGCCAGAATAAACCAAAAAAGGAAATATTCGCGCTCCCACAAAAAGGAAAAAACAAAGTGAAAAAAAGGGTCCCAAAGCAAGCATGAACAGAAACACACATTGGACATTGTGCGCACACACAGAATGACACGAACAGCTATCATATCTGAGTTGGCTAAACAAACGCTTTTCCTCGAGTCTCACTTTCGTGCCTCATGACATGGACATGAGAGAGGCTGAGGGGTTCACTTTGAGTACTGGCAGAATAAGTTGCTGGGGTTGTAGTCGGCGGCGATTCAGGTTGCCCCCAGTCTCATAGAGAAAGCAGCCAGGGGGAGCGTGGGTCGCCTGTGAATGCAAAAGTCATTTCGAACGCGTGAGAAAGGCCCAGAACACGCACACGCAAATACTCGGGCGGCAAAAGTTTGACCCCTGAGACGAAGGGAGAAGAGAAAAGAAGCCAAACAAAATCCTACCTTCAAAAGGTCGGCCGTAGTGGTATCGTCGCAGATTTGCACGTTTGGGAACGCTTCTCCGGTGTTTGCAATAACGGTGGTGATGGCGCGCACAGGGGGAACAGCCTTGGAGTCGGCCACCCACAGCACGGTTCCATCATGCCCCGATGCCGGTTTGGCTGGCACCATCAGCTTTTTATCACTTAGCAGCCTCTTCAGTTCCTTGGCGTTTGAAGTTTTCAAGCCGGCCCGCCGGCTTTCATTGACGTAACGCATTTGGGCCATGAGCTTGGCCGGCACTTGCCACAGCTCTTGGTAGCGTTCAACCATCAACTTGAGAGTTGATGCTGTGGTGACTTGAAGTTCAACCTCCTTGAGCATTTGCTGCCCCTTGCTACCCCGAATGAAGAAGAGCGTGGGTGCAAACACCACTACACATGCAATCCCCCGTGCCAAGAGCAAATCGTGCTGTGAGTTTCCATGCTGGTACACGACCGAGTAGACGGCAGGTTGAGTTGGAAAACGCACCGGCAAGATTGGCAATGTTCATTTTGTTGACCCCTGCACTTTGTGCAACTTCGTGCAGAAACCCCAGCAACTGCTGCAAGCAATCTGAATGTTCCTGTGATTCCGCATATTCAACAAGTACGTGAGCATAAAGCCATGGCCATTCATCAGACGACACAGCCCGAGATACTGCACCACATACGCCTTCTCCCCTCCTCCTCTTTTTCAATGCACACACTGAAAACATTGTTACGAAAAGGCAAGGCATCAACACATGGGCTCTGACCCACCTTGGGAAGGAGCATGACGAGCAGCTGAAGACCGTACAGCTGATCATCACCGAGCTTTTGTGTTTCTGAGAATGACTCGATGAGTTCATCGGTCAGTAAGGGGTCCGAGGTTTCCCTGTAACCGTTGGAAATGCGCCGATGAAGATCATGAGCCTATGGTGTGGTGCAGGCCACAAGGTGGGACTGCGGTACAAACCGCAAAAACTGCTTGAGGGCCGCCGCCACATCGTGGGGCCGGCAGTCCATAGCTTCCAAATTGACGTCTCCCCAGCTCTTCTCAATGGCTTCGCGCAGCTTTTTGATGCGTGCAGCAGAGCCAGCTTTGCGAAACAGGCCCTCCTCATCCACTGCACCGGTGATTTGATCGCCATGGGGGGGACACGTGAGAATGCGCGGGGTGAGCCGAAACAACATTGGATCAGCTGGTGTCGCTTGTGCCTGTGGTCGGCCAACGCAGGTCGTTGTGTCGTGGCATGGGTACTCACAAAACTGCTGCAAGAAGGCAATGGCTCGCTGAAAGAAGATCGGGACGCGGTTTGAGGCCATGGCGGCCGGATGATTGCGCACATCATGCTCCACCATAGTCGTGATGGTGCCACCAAATACATGACCCGCTACGAAGAGACGTGGCCCGATACCAGTACCAACATGTGTGAGGGCAGTGTTGCAACGACACATGCAGGGGAGGCGATGCGTGGGCATCGAGGGCATGGCAACGGCGCGAGACATACTAGCTTTGGCGCGTTTACGTTTGCGCTTGCTTAAAAGGGAAGAAGGAACACCCTTGTTTTCAAAGAGAGCCGTGGCCTCAATCAATGTCAAGCGTTTGAGCTGCACCAGCAGAGCATCCGCCGCTGTGAGTAGTAGTACAGCCACGCACGCGGCTACGTGTAAGGCGTGCATGCAGCAGAAAACGGCCCAACAACGCTCACGCACCTGTGCCTGGTCATCGGCACTCAAATCATCAAAGTGAGTGGGGCTGGACTGGGCACGCTCGATGAAGCGCCCAATTTCAGTATCCTATGAGAGATTGATGGGTAAGTGTGTGTTTGTTTGGGGTCGGAGGGGATAGGCCGGAATCAACAGGCTGAAGAGTGAGTCGGGTTGCAGTTTAGAAACGCGTTACTCACCGAGGCATCTTGCGCAGCGGTGCTTTCTCCAAAGACGGATTGAGCTGACGGCCGGAGTTTTTGACCCCGCTTCGTCAAAGTTCTAGGCACAAGGAGGAAACGATGAATAGGTGTGGGCCTGCTTGAATCATGCACGGCGGGGAAGAAACGCACGAGTTGAGAGCTTTGGCCCTGTTGACAACGGCGCGGCGCTGGCTAGCAGTGAAGCCAGCCGTGGCCAACTGCACATCATCCTCTGCAAGGATGGGGATGCGAGGTCGGTAATGGTGTGGCATTTGATCAGACGTCGATCCAGCAAAGGGTCATGAACACAGGGCAGAAACACACCTGTGATGGCCTTGCCGCCCTGAAACTGCTGAGCTAGTGTTTCAAATCCAGTCGAGTTGAGCCATTCCTTTTGCTCCTCAATCACTGCATGGCACGCACACACACACACACACATACAAAAAAAAAATAAAAAATGCCGAGGAAGGTCAGGGTGAATCACATTATTGTTGTGGCACACGCAAATCAACAAGCCAAGCCAGCATCGTATTAATGCTGGGTATGGCATTGGTTGGCCAAAGGGGTCGATAAAGAGTGAGCCGTTCTGTTCCCTGCGTGTCCAGACAGATTGTGACGCACCATCATCCTCCGTTGGCGGCGCCTCCTCAAAGGAGCGCTGAGACTAAAGCGGTATCGCACGCCAGCGGGCGTGAGCGGGCTGTGGCAGAGAGGCCAGCACAAACACATTGTGGTCGCGTGAACAGGAAACATGGTTGGCTAACCTCTTCTGCGGCAACGCGCTTAAACTCAGCCAGGAGGGTCTCAAGGTCGAGTTGCTCAAAACGCTCACGCGTGGCCTTGTCAATCAACTGGTCGCGGTGGCGCAGGGGCTGGACAAGTAGAGTGGAATAAGATCGGATAGGCAGGCATCTGATGAGCAATGTGTCGTTTGTTGTTTGGGCAAGGGACAGATGACAGGGCATTGAGCGTACTGTGCCGCTGGAAATGGTGGCTGGGCGGAAAGGCCGCTTCTTCTGTTCCTCGGCCATGCTATGGTTGAGGTGGTGTAGGTGGCACGGGTCGCTTGAGCCGACCGAGGCCTTGGATCAATGACAGAGCAGCTTGTGTTTGAGACCCTGCGGCAAAAGTCCACACGGCCTCACCTGTCCGCAATGAGCGCGAAGAAGCGGTAAGCTGTCGGGGAGGGACGTGTCTTCACGAAAAGAAGAACAAATTCAGCCAGGCCCTGTCGGGCTGGATCCGGTGTTTTGTCAAGGACAGCGCCTGGTAGTGCCTCAAATATTGCCTTGGCAAAGCGAATGGAACTAAACCAGGTCCCGCCCAAATGAGAGGAACGTGTCGTGTTAACAGAGCTGAGCTCCTCCTCCTCCTCGTCTTCTCAGGTCTTCGAGGCGTGTGCTGTGCGAAGTGAGACCAGCAAGGAAATTGATGAGGAGGTGTGGTCAACGCGTTGCATGTATTGTTCAAGACACGCAACAAACGGAGGCGCAAGTGTGAAGAGAATTCAGATCATGGTGCTGGCAGTGGGGTCACCCGACATTGAGAAGGCTCAGTGGCAGACACAGACACAGACACGACACTGACGCACAAGTCCGCGCGCGCGCGCAGGACGAGGCAGAGAGAAGAACGTACCGCTGCCCCGAATTGAAAATATCAAGCCTGGCTGCAATGTACTTCAGAGAGAGGGACTTGTCAGCAACTCTCAAACTTCTGAGCGAGAGAGAGAGAGAGAGAGAGAGAGAGCCAACAGGAGGATCAAAAGAACATCCTTGGTTGCGTTGGAAACGTGACTAGCTGAACCACCGGTGCTGACTGTGACACCTAAGACTTGATATCTGCCCAAAACCCTCTCCGAACAGGTGCGAGGACGTGAATGTGTGGATTTGAGATGCAATCATCAGGGCACGCCCGCCGGCCGGCCGCCGTTTGTTGCCCTATTCTTGGTCCTGTTGGCACCCAAGGGGCGGGATCGGCTACATTTGGTAGCACATCTATTTTTGAGTGTGCTGCTTGTGCGGGGCTTAGTGAATGGGACACGCCGCATGAACGTGATTTGGTTTGGCCAAAATGCAAGACGCTGTCAATTTGTCAGACAAACATGCCCATAGGAACCGGCAGCTGTCAGGTGAGGCGGTCAGTCTACTTCTAATTCTTCCGCCCGGCTGTCGTAGCCAACGGAGACTTGAGGCGCAGCGGGAGGGCTTTTTGAACGGTTTGAAACATGACCATGAGTTCCTGCGCGGCTTGCACTGAAGGCGTTTTGACGGTTGGGCTATGCTGCAAGGCCGCACGGTAAGCCGCCTTGAGGCCCTCGGAGTGCTTTCCCTTGCCGCGCCCCACCTGCTGGATGGCGCTGCGCAGCAGATCGCACATGGCATTCGCAAGCGCCTCGGGCCCATTGCCCAGCTCGCTGGCAGCCTGCGGATCCTGGACCATTTGCTCCAGCACCTCAATCAACGCGAGTAGGGCGCCCAGTCCATCCCGCCATGCACAGGGCTGGACACGGACGGCTGCCGTAGCTACCACCCAGTGCAGCTGCAACGCCACACCAAGCGGCATGGTGGAGAGAAGATAGTATTCGCGCGCTTGGCTCAAGTGTTTGACCATCAGCTGGTACGCGTTGTTTCGCTCGTTGTCGCGCCCTTCGCTGACGGCTCGGCCGTGCAACAGACCCAAGCGATTGTGCACGTCCGCCAGCTTGGCCAAGGCTCGCAGTCGACGCGCACAGAATTGCTCATCTTCTACCTGTGGTGACTGTTGCAGCGTCTGCAGTTCATGATAGAAGAGTTTGCGCGCCTTTTGCAGTAAATCATCCACGTCCGTCTCAAACTGGGTCCCGCGATCCCGCGTGTCATCATCCTGCAGCAAGGTTGCAAAGGCCAGGCTGGCGCTGGCCAACTCCATCTGGACCATGTCGTAAATTTCTGGGTGAGTGGCACGCGTGCCCAAAACAGCTCGGGCACGCTCGTACTCTTGCACGGCCCGATCGTGATGATGCCGCTGCTTTGTCCGCGTCCCCTCAGCGTGGTCATCCCCGAGCGTGAGCCAAGCGTACGCCAACCGATTCAGCTTGGCCAGGTTGCAGAGCACCAGGGCTAGATTGATGACGTCACCACATGCCTCAAACTGCTGCGCCGAGCGCAGCAGCAGGGAGTAGCTTTGCTTCCACATGCTATCCCACGTGCCATGAGCCACGCTGGCTGCAGTTGCCGTACTCCCCTCATCCTGAGCCTGGAGCTGTTCTGACATGGCGCTAATCAAGACACTGCCAGCCACGTTCAAGGCGTTGGCCTGCCGCCGCTGTGCCGATAAGCGGTCATCACCTGGCTGCACCTCGTTGATCAGCTGGTTGTACACGGACACGGCCATTTCCGTCAGTGCCACCGGTGCCGTGGGCAGCGGCCAGTCGAGCGCAAGATCAATGCGCAGGGGCAGCACCACGTGCGTTGGAGCGCTGCATGCAGCCCGCCAGGTTGCGACCCAGCTATCCACCGCGTCACCATCCACGTTGTCCACACCGGGATCACAAGACAACAGTATGCGTGCCTCATCTGCCGGCACCTCGCCCAAGCATGCGGCTAGTGCGGATCTTGAAGCCGAACCTTCAGAGGCCGCCTGGACCAGGACGTCACCGAGGAGACGCAGGACATCGGAGCGCACGTCTGATTCGCAGTACAGAACAAGACCCACACGTCCGGGTAGTGCGACCTGCAACGATGTTGGGTCAAGCGTTGCCTTGGGGCCACCGCCTGCGGATTTGACGTCCTTGGACCCACTCGAGCCGGTGTCCGTGCTCGGAGATGAGCGTGCGCGAGTGGCTTCCGTGGCCACCAGGTGCTTCACAGTGGTCGAACAGGCCAGCGCAAAGAGACACGATCGTAGGGCCTCACCCAAGGCTGCGCGCTGTTGAAAGAGGACGCCTCGTCGATAAAACAGCGTCGCGGCTCGAGAAAGCATGGCTGGGAAGAGCTGTGCGCAGCTGCTGTCCGAGCGGCGAGTGGCCAAAAAGGACAAGCCTTCAGCGAGATAAGATAGAGACATGTCCAGCTGTTGGTGCACATCCGCCGGTAACGGTGTTGGGCCATCGCGACCACTCGCGGGCCGATCATCAGGCTCACCACCCTGCGAATGGTGGGATGCGGCAGCAGGTTCGTCAAAGCCCGTGCGCTTCCTACCCGTGCCGCTGCTCTTGTGAGTCGGTGCGTGCTGTGCATGTCCAGCACTCGGGGTGCCACTCAGTCCGTTGCTGTCTGTGCTCCTGGGTCCACCTTTGACGGTCTTGCTGGGCTTGCTGTGTTGTTCGGTATTCTTGCGAGGACTGGTCTTGTGCTTGCTCGCCCCGCCGGGGGGCGTCTTGCCACCGCGTTCAGCTGCATCAACGCCCGTGAGCAGGAAGTGGATGGTTGCGGCCAGGTGGGGAAAGCGCTGACTATCGAGAAGGCGGCTGGCATTGAGCAGGAGGCGACGCACGGTGGCGCCATCAAAATCAGGTTCTGACGCCTGCAGCATACGCGAGGCAATGCGGTACAGCAGCAAGGCGACCGAGTGGGCGTAGGGGTTGGCCAGGTCGTTGTAATCATCGTTGGAATGAAGTCGCTGGCTTTCAAGCAGGGAGGTGAGATCAAAGAGACGCACAACCTCCTCGCCCGAATCACGCATGAGCCAGTAGGTGTGGCCTTCGTGTGTACACTGGTCCTGCAAGAACCGTACAATGCTATTGGAGAGGTCACAAACGGTGTTTGGGTCAAACTCAAAGCGCTCGGGCAGGTCGGATGAGCGCAAGGTTTCAAAGCTCTTCACCACGCCTTCCACATAGTAGCACATCAGAACCTCTGGAACGTTGCACATGAGATTGTCAAGCCAGAGATCAACGCCCGTCAATACGTTGATGGGTTGTGAGTCGGGCCGAAATTGCAGGCTGATGGCTGGGTGCTGTTGGTCTCCAAAAATGGTGAGGTCCGACTCAACCATGGCACGCAAGTTGCTAAAAGTCCAACGCTGACTGCGGTGCTGCCACACAAAGGCATCTCGAGCTGCGGCTGGGTCAAAGGCCCCAAGAATTTGGGCTGCATGCAACAATTCGCCGGTGGAGTTGGCTGGGCCTGTCGGCCCAGAGGTCGAAGATGAGACACCTTCTGAAGGCAGAGAAGGCGAGGCACCCACAGCAGCAGCAATGCCCATCTCCTCTTGAGAGGGCAGAGGGGGAAGCGCACCCTTGGTCACCGCTTGTGCATATGAGGGCGGCAGGGCTGGGCGCGAATTTGGGGGGCTCCGTGAATCCAGTAATTGAGCAGAGGCATGCAGGAGTCGCTCAAAGAAATGGCGCAGTGCCTCATCACTGCAAGTGTTGAGGTTGGGTTGGGGCTCATGTGTGAGGGCCTGGGGACCAGAGCCAGCTTTGGGCGGTGCATGTGACTGCTGCGTGAGCAAGCGGCGCAGCAGTTGTGCAAAGCCCTGAGCTGCTGATGAAGAGGCATTGCCGGGCTTGGGTGGAGTGGAATCTGTTTGAGAGCTCGAGGCAGGGTCGGGGCTAGTTGAACCGATATCTGCCGATGAGTGATTGTTTTCAAGTAGGGGGGCGGCATCGTCAATAAGGAGCGTATTGCCAATGCGATGGACCAGCACGCTGGCAAAGCGATCGGATAGGGGCATGGTGAGGAGCTTGCGCAAAGCGCCGCTGGTGCCCATGAGGTCGATGGGTTCATCCGAGGCCAAGATTTGCGACAGCATTTCGTGCGCCAGGGAAAGGCCGCCACGTGTGGGGGCAGAAGGTCGGTTTTCTTGCACAAAGGCGTCAATCCAATCAGCATCCTGAAAGCCTTGCTGGACCAGACCTATCGTCACAGGCACAAAGCAGGAGGAGCGTCAACAAGGGTGGCATTCCAAAACATGAGGCGAGGGGCCACGTCAAGCAAAAGCTGGACCTGTGCAGATTGATTTGCGTGCAGGAAGTACGAACCTTCCAGAGCGTGGGTCATGTCCTGCTCAACCTCAGCAAGGCGCAAGCGGGGAAGATTGGGGTCCAGATCACCGCTTTCGGACAGATAGGCACCGCTAGGTAGTTGCACGTGACCGGGCAACAGATCCATCTTGTTGGCGCGGGGTCGCGACCACAGCATGAGGGAGCCGTTCCCCTTGTCATCCTACATGGGCATGTCGCCGACCACAGCCCGCCCGCGTCTCGATCAGCGGATGACAGGCACACGACCGCGGGTTGGGAGGGAGACGCAACAGAGGCACAAAAAAAAAGAGAAAAAAAAAGGAAGAGAAAAAAAAAAAGAACGAAGAAGGCAAATCACAGGCGCAGCATATAAGTCATCAATGGGTCTACATACCGGCATGTGGTGTGTCACGGTCTGAGTGGCCACGGCATCCATGGTGCACGGTTGAGGGCTGGGCCGGTTGCCCTTCAAAGCAGAGTCGATGCTTCAACTTGCTGGCTCAACCAGCAGCGATTATTGCCAACTGGCTGGCAAAGTTAACAAACGCACTGTTTTTTTCACGTCAGGTAATGAACACTGTGTGTCTTATCTCCTCACCCGAGCCCGTCGCCCCATCATCATGACTGGCACGGCACCTCAGGTGGCTGTTGGGTGAAATGCGTTTGCGCGCACAGACGTCGACATGCTGACATCCGAACAGCGTGCTGACAACAGACAACTCCATTTCCAGCACCTTCTCGAACTCAACTGGTGCTATCTGACTAAACCCCTCTAATCTTATTTATGTGAGAAGGACGTTGATGACCCCTCTTATTTTGTGTGTGTTGATTTCTCGCGTTTTGTGTAACTCGTTGTGCGCTGATTTTTTTTTTTTTTTTTTTTTTTTTTAAGGCAGCTGGCAGTTGACGGCGAGTTGGCTTCCGGGAGCCTTTTGGAAGGGTGTGGGGAGGAGGTGCCTGTTTGGCACAGAGCTGCTATAAGACACCGGCCTGTCAAAGGCGGGTGTGTTTGGTCAGCGTTTGTTTCAATCAACAAGTGCAGCAGTGTACTATAATATTATCTTATCTTGACCTACCGCAGCGCTCGCAGCAGCCAAAGCGGGTCTCTGGAGGGATTGCTGACGCCCAGGCGCCCACACACATGCCGGCTTGGCCCTCTCGTGCAGCGATGGTACAGGTGGCAGGAGGCGCCCGTTTGCGCGCCTCCTCGGCCGCAGGTCCTCTGTGCCTGGCCCTCTTGCTCCTCGTTGGCCCGGCCGTGTGCCAGGAGATGTTCTGCAACAACCCGGCCGGAGTGGGCCTGGCCGCTTCCGACACCGTCGTCACGCTGACGGGAGCCCCCTCAGATTGGGTGCGCATGGGCATTGGTAGTCGTGATAACCCAACTCCAAGCTTTGAGGCGATCAGCAATCCCTTTGTCATCGGCAAACCGAGCTTTCCGCTGGCCAAGGAATGCAACGAGGATCGCCTCAGCGTGAGTACCGGCTCGACCACCCTCACTGTCAATCTTGACACGATGAACTGGACCCTCTCCACGGCCGACAACGTGCGCCTGCTCAGCTCAAACAACCTTTTCCAGATCAGCGACACCTCCACTGTCGTGTATCTTGGCCCGAGCCGAGGTGCCATCTACGGCTCTCGGCTGCCAGCCTATGAAGAGAGCACCAGCCTCACTGCCTCCGCCGGTCTCGTTCGCGCTGCCACCAACAGTGCCGACTTGCCTAGCTTCTGGCATTCGCAGGGCTACAGTGTTTTTCTTATTACTCAGAGCGGTTCAAAGGGTGACAGCCCCAACAGCCTGCCTCTCTCCTGGCTGGTCTCCCCAGACTCGGGCCTGCTTTCCGCCTCGGCCCCTGCCCTGCGCTTTGACATCTATCTACGGGCGGCAGCGGACTTGGACGATCATATGCGAGGCCTCTATCGCCTTATTGGTCCACCAGTCCTTCCTCCTCTGCCCGCCTTTGGCCTGCTGCTCACACAATCCGGTGAATTTAGCGCGGGGGGCAGTGCCTTTGCCGTCGTGCGCGATATGCGCTCGGCGGGTGTGCCGCTGGACGGCTTCTTCGCCAACTATCAGTGGTACGCGGCGCAATCCGATAGCTCGGTTGGTCTCAATGGCACCAACAGTCCCGACTTTGGCTTTAATGCCGGCTACTTTGTCAGCAATTTCTCCATCGACCTGGACTATTTTGCTCAGCAGCACGTCTTCTTCGGAGGACAGCGCTGGCCGCGCCTCATCAATGCCAGCGACCTCGCCAAGGCTCGCGATCTCGGTTGTGTGGCTGGCGACTCGCGAGCTTTGGTTCTGGACACGGGCGCCTGCCAAACGCAGTTCCATGATTGGATGCAAGCTTATGACGGCACGGGCGTCAGCGGCTTCTGGAACCTGGGCCCGGACCCTAGCAGCAACTATACTTATTCACTGCTTGAGGCCGTCCAACAGCGTGCCGCTCTCAGTAGCCCGGCGCTCACCCTGGGCCTCACTTCTACTTTTGTGCCCGGCTTGGAGCAAGTTGGGTACGCCACCACCGGCTGGGACGTGCCCTCAACCTGGGATGGCCTGCAGCGCGTTGTCGTCATGATGCTTAACCTTGTCACCGCCGGGCAGCCCATGGTGGCACCAGCCATGCTCGGCGACGATGTCAATGTGGATTCGACCCTGCTGGTGCGCTTCTACCAAGCCAGCGTCTTCTTTCCTCTGATGCGAGTTCAACTGACCGTTGGCGACCCCACCCAGTGGCCATTGCCCCAGAACTCGGACGGGCTGCTTCAAGCCGCAGTCCGTCTGCGCTATCAGTGGCTCCCATACATGTACTCCACCTACTACGCCTTCACGCAGGGCGACCATGCCCCCGTGCGCACCATCGTCACCTCCTGCCAGGGCAGCACCTCGTGCCTGTTTGCAGACACAAACCAGTGGTTCTGGGGCCGCGTGCTTGTTGTACCTGCGCTCTCTGAGAATGGGCTTGCGACATCGTATCTCCCACCGTCCAGTCCCCGGTGGTTTGTCTTCAATACGACCACCACCTTGGCGACGGGTTCACATCCCGTGTCGATTCAAGTGGACGAGGTCAAACTTTATGTGCCACCCGCCACCATCATTTTCCTCGGTGATGATTCAATAAGTAACGTGTATGCGACTCCAACGCAGGAGCTGCGGGTCCATGTTTACGCGGGCGGTGACGCTAGTATGGAATACGTGGAGCCCCACCGCAACGGCTCGACCCTGCATATTTCCTTTACTTGGCTGGAGAAATACCAGATTTTGCAGTGGCAGCTTGTCAATGGCACAGAGGCCCTCGATTCGCGGTATCTGTTGATACGAGTCATGGCCTTTTACGATGATCTATCCGCACCCATCGTGAGCTACCTGCGCACCTTTGTGGCTAACGGCTACGTGAGCTTCCAAGAGGATCACGCCAAGGCCCTTGCGCATGGACAGCACAAGGCGGGACGTCGTGTCGTCCATTTCCAGCAGCTCGCACCTGGAACCGCCCAAGATTGATCAAGGTGTGGTCTGAGGCATGGCCGGCAGGAGTGGCGGAAGTCGGCGCACCAGGTTCCGAATCACGGTTGCCTTCTTGCCTGCCTTTCTCTTCCGTCTCATGTTTGCTTTCCGAATGTAGTGTATGTGTGTAATGTGTTTGTGTTGAGGGAGGCAGTTATTGTTTTCTTTTTTTCACGTGGTGATGGCAGTGCTGCGCAATGCCACGTGCCGTGGTGTATACTGATTGTCCACAAAAATGTCATTCATCATGCCGCCACCTCAGCGAGGTGCCCTCCTTTTGGTTTGCTATGGTGAGCTGATTTTATGGTTGAGTGCTTCGATGCTCTTTATCAAAATCGACTGACAGCGTGCACACTGGAGGTGGATGGCGCTCAGTCATGCTGACTATGCCAATCATTGAGACGCGATGGGGTTGATTGATCTGTTGATTGATTGACTTGCAGCACAACAAGATGAATAGGGCCGAACAACCAAAGGGCAGGCTGGGCTTGAGGCGCATTGGCACGTAAGCATCATGTGATAGGTCCCGAGCGTCAGAAAGGTACACGGGAAATCGGATACTAAAAAACGGAAAGAAAAAGAATTATAGACATTGCGGCAAAACAAGGAGAGCACGCGCTCGGCAAAGAGGTGGCGTTTTGTCCCAAGTCCGACCTGGGGTTGGTCCAAGCACACGGCCTGGCGCCACAATGCCGCAGTGAAAGAAAAATAAATCAGGGTACAACTCAGGAAGCATCTTTACAAAACATTATCAAAATAAGATAGTGAAGCACATTTGGGCAAACGCGCGGACACTCTTTGTCTGCACGCTTTAAACACTGGCCGAGTCAGACGGAAGGCCGGCGACCGTGGCGTGTGCAGGTTCCTCAAAGGCGGGAGGACAGTGCTCGTCCGCTTCTTGACTAGTAGGTACAAGGGCCAGCTCGATGTCGTCAATCTCGACCACATCAAGTCGTGGAAAGTGCTCTAAAGTCCATGCTTGGCCCACGCGGGGTGCACGGGTCCCGGTGGTCATGACGATTTGTGTGGGTTCGTCGAAAGCGTCGTCCAACAGCTCCAGCTCGGTGCTTTGTTGAGGATCATCATCGAGCTGTGCGGCATTGAGGCATGACAAGTCCTCGGCAGCCCAGGCGGTGCTCGAGCGCGTTGTAGCGGCCAAGCCAAAGCGGCGACGCCACTCTGTGATGGCATCGTCTGTGGAAAACCATTCCCGTTCCTTCTCATTGATGGTGGTGGGGTCATTGAGGGTGTGAGTTTTGCTACGGGTGCTCCGGCGGCGGGCCACAAACGCCAAGAGCACGAGCACCAAGACAAGGAAGCCCGATCCCACACCCAGCGCCCAGGACCAGGATGAACTGAGGCTAGTTGCAGTAGAAGAGTGGCCCTTTTTGTCAGCATGCGTGGCCGACGGGATGTGGGGCTGCAGGTACTCGCTGTCCTCCACCGGAGCTTCACGCAAATATGTGCGAAAGGCATAATCGTAGCCGGCGGCGGCAAAGTTGTTGCTACCACGAGTGTAGGCGTCGGCGACCATCAGACCAATGCGGTGGCGCTTTTGCTTGACGAGGTGTTCCGTTAGAGCCAAGGAAATAGCGTATGTGGTGTCAGCCTACGGTGTGAGCAGCGTGAGTGTGAGGATAACTAACCAGGCTTTTTTTTTTTTTTTTGCAAGCAAAGGTTTGGTGATGCGGGGCAGGTCGTGATCGCACCTCCACCAGCACAGGAACATCAAGGCTCCAGGTACGCCATTCGATACACTATAGCGTGAACGAGAAAGCTTAAAGCGTAAGGGCAGCAAGGGCGTCGGGCAACCCGGCTTGGTTGCGAGCTCGAACCAGACCAAAAGGCACGGCAGCATATTCGGAAAAGGCAACATACATCGTGGCCGGTGCAATCGCAAGCCTGCTGGACAATTTGCTCGTGCAGAAGGTTGTCGTCATCAAAATAGGGAAAGGCCGAACGACCCGCGCCCGCGTAAATGGCCAAGCGTGCGTTGAGCTCATAGCAGCCTCCAAGGCTGTGATCGGGGCCGAGTTTGAGGGCAATCTGAGTTAGAGTCCCGTTGCGTGCAGGCGCAAAGCTCTGCCACACCCCGGCCAGAGGCAGCTAGTGGTGGATCAGGCAGCACCGGTCCGTGGGTAAGGGTAAGCAGGCATTTAGCGATCTAAACCAAGGGAGCCACACGATCGATCAGAAGGTTAAGAAGCATCCGAAGCTAGCGTACCAAATACGTGGTGGTCGTGGCCGTCTGGCTTTGGTCAATAAAGTCCTCGGTCGCGCCAAAAGGCAGCACCAAGAGGGTCAGGGCGAGGATGGGCGATAGATCGAGCCAGGGGCTCCCAGCACCACGCCAAGCGACTCGACGCATTTGAATGGTGGTCTGCCTGGGCTCGTCGATAACCGTGCTGATGGAATTCAGCGGTGCAGGATCAGCACGGCATTCAGCGATACAGGATGGGGGCGTGCGCAAATGCGTTGACCAGAGTGCTCGAGTGGAAACAAAGGGGGTGTACGCCAGGGTCGCTCAGGGGCCCGACGTTCGAATAAGGGTGGCTGGCTCAACTGAAGAAACACGGCCTAAACAGAGGATGGGAGGAACACCGCCACTTGGCCCCTCTCATCAGACTCGAGCAAAAGGGAAACGAAAATGAAAACCCGCAATCATCGACGCAGGTGTGAAGTGCCCTCAAGATCCACAACAACTAGTGCTCTCCCCGCCCCCACCACGTTGACCTTAAGCAGGCGAGTGTGTGCTCTTTGTGCTCACAGCGATAAAGAGAGCAATAAAACAATCGATCTCTCCTGTCCGCCGCATCCACCAAATGTTACATGCATGCATGCATCAACATCGCGTCAAGCAAGCTTCCAGTCTTCCCGAAGACTTGAAGACTGGTGTCAGATTCGCCTCAAATCCTCTCTCTCTGGTCCGACGTCATGTTCGGGTACCTCTGTGTGATGGTGGCGGCGTTGTGCTGGGGCGGGACCAACCCGCTCATCAAGCGTGGGGCGCAAGGTATGCTCGATCTTGGTCACTGGTAGGTGGAGGGCACGGCCGGTTTCACAGCTCAATGGATTGGCGTTTATCGAAGATCATTCGCAGCACACCCGCGCGGCTGGCGTCTGGAATACCCTGCGAAACACCTTTGGCAATTGGCGCACCCTGGTAGGTGCTTGGTGGGTGTACGAGAGCGAGGAGCGATCGTGTGTATATGCGGGGGGTTGGGGCTCGCTTGCATCAGCAGGGACAGTGGTACTCATGTTGGGTACTCATGTCGGGCGGATGGGTTCAGGTGCCGATCGGAATCAACCAATGCGGCTCGGTGTTTTTTGCAGCGGGACTTCGCCATCTGCCTTTGTCTGTGGCAGCTCCTCTGACCAACAGCCTAACGTTTGGTGTGACGGGCGTGGTGGGCCACTGGCTCGGCGAGGCATCGCTTCAACCCCTGCAAGTTCTCGGGGTTGCCCTCATCATGCTCGGGGTCACTCTCTGCACCCTGGCTGAGCACCATCTGGCCTGAGACCACACGAGCATGTCGGCCTCTGCAAGGTCCCGCCCCCTTTTGCACGCTGCGCGTGTTGCAAACGCACGAGGCGTTGACGCGGGTACAACGAGTCGGACGACCAATGTGTGTGCTGGCTGTTTTAATAATATTTTACATGAAATGCCTGCCTGATGACGGTACGATGCGAAATCGGGTGGGTTGGGATAAAATCAATTTAGCCAAAGCTGTCACAGCAAGGCATCAGGCCTTCATCATCTGGTACCCCCATCACACAGCCGGGCTCAAACAGGCAGGCGTACGTTGGCAGGCTCGATGAATTTACAATCAAGACAGCGATCGGGCCATCTCAACAGGGAAACAAAAGTAGGGGTAATGTAGGGCAAAAGTAGCCCCTAGGTTTGGATTGCAAAAAAACACATGGTCGAAACCCTAGTGCTTACTCGTAGATCCAGGACTCGGTGACCTGAGTCCACTCGGCGACCTCACCCTCACCGAACCAGAGGGCAATCTCCTTCTCGGCTGACTCGACGGAGTCGCTGCCGTGGCAGATGTTGCTGTCACAGACAAAGCAGGCAAAACAGAAATGACAATGAGAAGTATGAAATGATGCCAGATTGAGATTGCGCTTGTAAGGTATCATCAAAGAGTAAAGCCCCGCCCCCCCGCACAACGAACGAGCCGTGGTAATGGAACACCAAACCCGGAAAAAAAAAAAAAGTCAGGAACCGATGTCTTACCGGCCAACCTCAATGCAGAAGTCACCACGGATGGTGCCGGGCAGAGAGTCATCGGGGCGGGTCTCGCCGAGGAGCTTGCGGCCAGACTTGACGACGTTGGTGCCCTCCCAGACCATGCAGACAACGGGGCCCGAGGCCATGTACGAGACGAGTCCAGGGAAGAACTTCTTGCCCTTGAGGTCAGCGTAGTGCTGCTCGAGGAGCTCCTCGGTGGCCTGCTTCAGCTTGAGAGCGCAGAGCTTGAAGCCCTTCTTCTCGAAGCGGGCGACAATCTCGCCGACCAGACCGCGCTGAACGCCATCGGGCTTGATCATGATGTAGGTACGCTCACGGGGGGCCATGGCTGCGGTCTGAAGCGATAAAGAGTCTTCAAGGAAATGGGCTAATGTTGAAAGAGGGAGGAAGACACGTCGCGTATAACACGTTCCACAATACACGTGGGTATCTTTTTCGCAAGTGGGGACAAACACCATGTGAGTCGGGCTGGGGTGCGGGAGAGACTGGTAGTCTTGGTGCAGACTCGAAGAGATATTCATATGTCAGACTTTTGCTGGACGTCGATGATGATCGTTTTTTATTTTTTTTTTATTTTTTTTTCGGCTCGGGCACTCGATCGTCTGTCGTGTCTTGGCGGTCTCGACCGAACTTGGGCATGGTGCTGAGCAGCAGCAGCAGTGTACACAGTGGGTAGCATTCAGGGAGCGTTATTGAGTGGATCGACACCATGCGTGAAGATGGAACTTACTGCTTCTTTGGCACGCCCATTGAGATTGATGAGGAAGATGAGCCCCTCAAGAAACGCGTACGTATTCCCAAGACACTCTGGGCCCGTGCTCTGGACCTCCCGCTGGTCCAAGAGCAGCTCACCTCTGCTTGACACAGTTCTCATAATCATGTGTCGGGCCGATGACAGGTGGCAGCCCACGACCAAATTGTCACCGACAAGCAGGGCCGGCGTCGCTTTCATGGCGCATTCACTGGAGGGTTTAGCGCCGGCTACTACAATACCGTTGGCACCGCGGAGGGCTGGGCGCCTTCCTCTTTCACATCATCGCGCCAACGTCAGCAAGAACAGCCTGGGCGCCATGCCGCTGCACCCAGTGGCTCGGGTCGTGCGCCCGCCCAAAGCATCACCGACTTTATGGACGAGGAGGACATGGAGGATTTCGGTATCGCCCCAAAGCAAGTACGGACCACCGGGGCATTTGCCGATCCCGCAGCCGATGCCGGGCCCCGCAGCAAGCGCAGCAAGCTGCTCACGCACGACTCAAAAGCCATGGCCTACCTTCAAAATCTAATTCAACCAACCAAGGAGAATATTGGGGCCAAGTGCGTTGGCGGCATCTTCTTACTCAGCACCACGTTGCGGCACGCGGCTGCTCGCTCGCCCTGACGTCTCGGTCCACTCACTTCTTCCAATCGGATGCGCGCCTGCAGAATGCTCAAGGGCATGGGTTGGCGGGAGGGCCAGGGTATCGGGCCCCGTATTCCCGCTCGGCGCCGCACACCGGGCCATGTACGTCTGGTTCCGCTCGTCCCAACTCAATGCCTGACTTTCGGGCGTTTGTGGCGTGTACCCCACCCATTGTTCCTGCTCATTGGCGGGTAAATACTCTTGGATCATGGTGCTATGTCATATGTAGAGTGAAGCAGCTGATCCGCGTATTTTTGACGATATTGCGGCTGCGCGTGGCGTCTCGCTCGCTCCGCGAGACACCCGCACCACCAGTTTTGATGCCAAGGACAATTTCTTCGGCATTGGCTATCGGGGAATGACTGCAGCGGTATCAAGCGCAGCCCGGCCCGTGCATTTCATTGAACGTGAAGACGCTTGCATGCGGTTGTTTTCACTCACAGGCTCGATGGAACCCGTTTGCCTTTTCTGCTTAGGACTTGCATCTTGACACCAAACGGCGAGGCATGGGGGGCATTGGCGTGGGTGCCTTGGAGGAAGCCGATGATGACATTTACGAGGATGAAGCCGCCGAGCGCTCCCAGTATGATCGCATCATGGGTGGCGAGGCACCGGATTTGAGGCATCATCCCGCCCAGCAGCGATTGAGCGGCCCCGCTCAGCTCGCCCTCAAGGGCCCCATTGACGATTTCTCCGGCCCATCCCGCTTCGCTCTCTCTGGCTTTGTGGCGCCGTCCAATCCGCTGAATACAAAAACGGTAGGTCAAACCAGCACCCATCAGCAGAAGCAGGTTTCCCTTCCGCACCGCTGCTTGGCATTTGTGCTGTTTTGCTCATCAATGCCTCGGTGCTACTTGCACGGCTGGGGCCACTTGCATCAATGCAGGTATATCCTGGTCATCGACCCCCCAAGGACTGGTCACCTTTTCACAAGTTTGATGTGCCGGGCCCGTTCTCAAATGGATCACTCTCGCGACCTGCCCAACATGGTGAGCAAGCCGAATATCACCTTTGTCATCGATTCCATGTTCTTGTTACTGTTTTTTGAGGGCGAGCCAGTCAAGAGCTAACACAGTGATGGGTGTCCTTTTGATTTTGTGGCTGCAGCCATGAATCACTTGAGCGCTCGCCAGCGTGCTCAGCTGCTCGGCGAGCAACTGGATGCACCCCGACCCAACATTTTTGAAGCTTTTCAACCGTCTGCGCTTGCGGCCGATCGTGTTGGGACAGCAGTGGAGCAGCAAGAGCCCCCAACTTCACGATCACACGATCCACTCACCTCCAAGCACGCTCTTTCAGAGATGCAACAGAATGCCTTTCGTCCTTTTCGGACAGATGCTGAAAAGCAGGTGCGACGCAGATGGCACTCTCGTTTTACTTTACTTGCAAGCAGGAACAGCCTTTCCAAGCAGTGAGGGAGGAGGAAAAGAGAAATCGTGTTGCATGGAGTGTGTCAAAGTTCAGCGCCCACCATCTTTGTGACTCATGCTCACCTTGTGCCTGGTTTGAACCCCCCCCCCCCCCCCCCCAAAAAAAAAAAA